CACTTTCTTACAAACCTCATCTATAAATATATTGAACACCATGGTGACATTCACATATTCTGTCTAAGCCTACTTTTACTGGGAAATAATCTCCTCTCCATCTCTCCTCCATACTCTAACCTGAACCTCACTAGCCACCTTTTCACTGCAAGAGGAATAGTAAAAATTACAGTTGTTGCAATAAGTTAGTTTTCTGTTAAAGAAGTCAGTCTGTTTTAAAAGTGAAACTTAATCGAGCAAGGAGGTTAAGAAGTGTTCTGGGGCAGCAGACATGACGGGAGTGAATTCTTGCATTTCTTGAGCTGTTCTGGCTGGGACAACCCGACAGTCCTCTAGAATGAGCTGATATTTTCTTCCAAGAGGTTTCCCCATTGAGCAAGTTGTGGGACTTATACAGAAGATGGGAGAGTGCAATTTCCCAAACTACGACAGCATGGGAAGAAGACCAGAAACCCCAACGAGGTTTGACAGAAAAATGATATGTGAACCAACGCTGACTAACGATGCACAAGCAGTCACAGGCTGAATGAGAACTACAAAACAGTCCAAGAAATTTGAGGTTATGAACATCTGACCAAGCAAATCCAAGTTTCTTGCATGTTCATTACCCAGAACATTGTCCATGACTAGGGACCCGCAGCATAACATACTTTGAATGTGAAGACGAGCTGAAAATAAGAGGAGTCCTAATTTCTGAATAGCCTTACTGCCAATGTAAGTAGCCAAAATCTATAAAAGACAATGCAATGTGCATTAATTTTTTGCCTTGAAAAAACGAGTAAAGAAAAAAATGACCTTGGATGATTTTGTTAAAAACGTCACATAGCCAAAGCGTACCGTACTATCAGAAATGAAAGTGATTAAGAAACGAGAATGAAGTTTCAACAGCAAATGATCTTTCCACATGGGAAAAGGGGCACGACAAACATGAATCATTGGAACTTCAAGGGAGGGGGGGACAATAAAAACCACAATGAAAATAAATTAAGGAACCAAAACAAATACATAGTGTAATAAAGGAGAAAAAAATTAAACAAAAAACCTTACTAACATCATTACCATCCTAAGGGAAGGATTGGAATTTTGTGAGAATGAAAAAAACAGTGCCCCCTCGGTAACAATCCATCGGAAGCGAAAAAAGGGATACTGATGCGTTTTTGCAAAAAAATTTGGGCTTGGCCAACGATAAAAAACTCTGTAAAAACTTCGTCCCAAAACGCCCCCACACCCGGGGCTGCCCAGGGCCCCGCCGGGCCCCACTATGTACAAGCGGCCATTTTTTTACAAGCCAGGGCAGACGTTCATCAAAAACCATGATACATTTTTTTTAAATTCCATTGTTTTTAGGCTATTTTAACTGCTAAAAAACCCCCATGGACCCAAAAGAAAGCTTCTAGGCCAGCCCTTGATAAAAAAGGAAAAAAACCAAAAAAAATTTCAAGAAAAAACTCGTGAAAAGTGACAAAGTGAAGAAGGAAGAGAAGGGGTAAGTGCCTTCTGCAATTTTCAGTGATTCTATATTGACGATACTAAAGCCAGGTATGAAAAAGGGGCTATAGTGCCAGCCAGCAATAAAGTGTACAAAGAACTCCCAAAAGTTGTTGAATGCATATCGGGCCGCTGAACATATGCCACCCTAACTAATTAAACTAAGATCTCCTCCAAGGAAAGTGTAAATATAAAAGTGTAAGTATAAAAGTTAAATATTTATTTTTATACTTACAATGGAAACAAGTCACTGACTTTTTGGGTTATCCTAGGTATTTTACACATATGCTGCTATGCATGATAATCTATGTACGTAACTGAAATTTGTGTATACTACTTGAATAAACTTATATATAAATTAAAATGTAAATATTTCTTATTATGAACTACATACATTGTTTAAGTGTGATAGTGTTTTGTGGGTTCTGCTGTGCCACCACCACCACCACCACTACGTACGGCTTCTCTCAGTGGCCATGGTAAACCCAACACTTCCATCAAATTATCCTCGTATACATTTATTTTTTTATTTATTTAGTAATTTGAGCATACATACAGAGGGACAAAAAAATACAGGTAAGAGCAGCAAGCCAAAGCCACTTACATGCATAGCATTACGGCTGGCTAAAATTAACTTAAGATTAACTAAGCATGATGAAATCAGTGATAAGACATTGTAAAACAGATAACCCATAAAGCACAAATGAGTATTACAAAGACAGGTCATATGGTTGCTTGCCCTTGCTGTACATTCAGTCGAATGGAGTATTCTGTTAGATTGGGTTTTAGGTTTAACATTTATGTGATATAATTGTGAGAAACATTTAAGATATACAATTTTTTAAGGTTCAGTTATTCAGTATTTATTTGGTTTGGTGGGGTAAGTGATCTTTGAGAAGAGACTTGAATTTATAAACAGGTTTGTGTTCTTTTTAATTTTACAGGTAATGAATTCCAGATTTTAGGGCCTTTTATGTGCATTGAGTTTTTGCATAGCGTGAGATGGACACGAGGAACATCAAAGAGTGATCTGTGCCTTGTGTTATGGTTTATGTGTTTTTTGTTGAGGTTGGCAAGGAATGTTTGAGGGGAGGTTAATATTTTAAGTAAAGTTTCTATGTAATAGGTGCAATAATAAGTAGGGTTTTTTTGTTTTTTGGGGGTAGGGTTTAGTGTTTTGAAAAATTTGGGGGAGTTGGCCGTGTGAAATTTGTTTTTCTAACTGCAGCCTTTTGTGGGTTTAAATTGTGGGCTGAGATGGGTTTTTTGTTGTTGGCCCATGCACAAATCCATGGTGAATAGGGTTAAATAAAGTTATAGGGGCCAAGGC